ATACCATCTTCTCAAGAAGGGCTCTTCTCTATGGAATGGATCATTCACAGGTAAACCAATTATGATTCGTAAGTTGAATTTAGTATGAACGTACCATAGCCAATAAAATTCTTCTCTATACATGGGCATTGTGTTCTTGCCCCTTTAAAAGACATACGCTTTCTGTGTTGCATTCTTCCGCCTCTTGAACTTTTTGTTCCGTAAATTTTTCTTTCTCCGCACAATTGTATGAGAAGGTGACTAAGCTCTCCGTCTATCCTCCATTCAAAAGTCGGAACCGTGTGTAAAAAAAAGCGTTCAACTATAAAATCCCACACAACGTACACAAAGCAAAAAAACACCACCATATACAAAGTGACACATTCTGACAAATATAAATTATATAAAATGCATTTTATCTCACGGCGAAGAAGAAGAAGTTTACGTATGAAAATTTTCATGTTTCAAACCATTAAATGAACCAGTCCCATTGTATGGTATGTCAACCCCAAGACCGGTAATTCCCACTGAACCCTTCCGTCGTTTTTCCTAAGTACCTCACGCAAACGCTTAGATAGCACCATAAATTACGCCACTACCGTTTCCTTCAATATCCTTTCCCGGTCATTATTCATTAGTCATTCTATCATTCAACACTATATATTCTGAACTATAGGCAGCGTCGTTAAAAGATACCACAAATAAATAAACCACTGCGAATTTCTAATGAATTTAATAAACTCAAATTTAAATTGAGAGAAAACTAATAACATTCTATATATATACATTTATACGGAAAATGTATTCGTGTCCGTGTACTTTACAGACACACATAATAAATTATATATCAAAATCTGTAAACACCAACATAATTAAGACTTAATGATCTCACGACGGAACGAATTCTCTGCACAGAGATTTCTAGCCATCGTACAGTGTCGATGTATTAAAAATTTACTGCTTGCTTCTAGAGAGGCGACTGTAAAGAATACAACATATCTTCCTCAAGAACATCGGACATTTTTACAACACCGACATAGTACTATGATTAGAAAGGGGACAATAAACTTCAATTTCCTATCACTCTCAAATTTTAGATCTTTTTCCCTTTCCCGATCCCTTCAACTTAGATAAACAGTGAAACATGTGAGCCATGCGTGTTACTGCTGTTTGTGTTCAGGAGAAAGGCTTTAAACTTGATAGTGTATACCGAAGCGGAAATCCGAAGAATGTAAATCTGTCGCTAGAAATTTGTTTCTTTAAATGTATTTGTTAAAACGCTACATCATGCAGTCTCAAATCCTAATATTTTTGACATGGTCCATTCGCCCCCACCTCTCATACCCATAATGTTTTTCCTACTGCAAAGGTCGAAACTTTTATCCTGGGTGCATTACTTCAATATTTTCTTTACCCTTGTTAACAGTACTTGTAAAAGTTGCCTTATGGTAGCAGCAGAAGTAATCGATCACCTAGACAAGAAGTTCGTCGCCTTTTCTACAACCAGAAGGTTTATTTCGGTGGTCACAAGAGCTAGCCAATGGTCCTCATTCTGAGCCAGATTAATCCAACCCGCATCGTCTATCCTATTAATTTAAGAACTATTTTAATATCCTCACATCTAACCTAGGTTTATCATACTGTCCTTTTCTTTCATATTTTCTTGTTAATATTATGTATGCATTTCTTATCGTTCCCAAGCGTACTACATACACCACCCATCTTATCAATTTTTGAGTTGATAACCCCAAAATAACTGGTGAAAAGAACAAATTATGAAAATGATGATTGTTTCAGTATTTTAATGTTATATTCTTGATTCTTAAACAGAAACATAAGTAATTAAGATATTCGCAAAATCCATTAACATTGCACACATAACCAACACGTCACAGAGCTTTCCTTTGTCTACCTCGTCCGTATTAATCTTCTAAAGCCGAGGGTTTACACGTACAGGGCAAAGCGATCAGATATCAGAAATCCAGGGCCCGAGGTGTTCGTAGGGAATCAAGTTTTGTAATTCTAGCGGCTGAAATCCTATTGGATTAGCGACCAGCAGTGGTCCTGTTGAACCGCAGAGACAGAAATGAAGCTATTACTCCGTACAGTCGTAGTGGCACCACAATCCTTCACCAGATGACGTCTGCGTGAACTATAAATTTAGTGGACAAGTCCAACACATCCTTTGCAAGTGAATTCTCAATATTAACACAAGTCTTACCAAAGTCAAGCAAAGTAAACAAGGTGTATCGGAATTATGAATTTTAATATCCACTCGTAAATGATTTTTAAACATTCAGTCCCCACCTCAAAGAAAACACAAAGGTCAAGTGATGATTTCCCTCTGGTAAAACAAACGCTGATTTTCTTTAAAAGATCATCCGAAACCCATAAATATAATATACTCTCGGAGCAAAATGAAAATTTACTGAATGTTAAAGCATCTGGTAACTTATGCTGTGCTTTAAGAGGGCAAAACGACGGGATATACTTTTTATGGTTTCGTCGGAACTATTTTCACGCGCATGAAGACAAATAGTAAACCAGAAGAGATTTCCTTTGAAACCAACGTGAACGTGTTCAGTGGCCGAATACAAATATGCGCCTGGGTATACCGGCAACACGCGTTGCTATTGATCAGTCGGGTGGTATTTGGTTTAACAATCGTTACATATTTATGTTTTATCCCACACATATTCATATATACATACATATTTATTTGTATATGTATAAACCAACATTCGACGTTGAATTCTTAGGCAAACAACAACGTAGCCAGGGGATACATTTGGAAAGTGTACCGTTGGAAGAATGAATAAATGGACAAATTTTATTTCAGGATACACAAAAAATAATTAAATTAGAATTGATATGTAGATATATAATGAAACAAGTGATGTGCTTTTACCGAAACTGTGGGCGCAAAAATATGCTTGTTGTAGAAAGCATCAATGAAATATTAGCAAATGGATGTTTAGCATTGAAATGCGATTGAGCTAGAAATTAACATTTACAGCGTTGGAATTATAGTAAGGAGTGTGGACTACAGATTCACGTGCATCGTGGATTTACTCTAGTGAACAGAGTATTGCAATGTTTCTTTGTAATGTACCATCGTCTTCATAACCAAAGCAAACAATTAGATCCCACAGCAAAAAAATCATCAAGGAAGGAAAGGGAAGAGAGAAAATGAAAGACGAAGAGATAAAAATGAAACAAGAAAATAAGTGCACAAAAATAAAGGGAAACAGGAAAGATAAATTATTGACTGGCAAAGATTTGATATATAGATTCATTTATATATAAACATACAGGCAGGCAGACAGACAAACAAATGAACATAAATTACAGAAGATTACAGAAAAGAAAGCCCACAAAGAAAAGTAAAACAGACATGTGATCCACAACTTATAAAGAAGGTTATATTTACCAGAAGTAGATACTAAGAGATTAATAAAGCACGTAATGCATGCAGGTTTAAATAATTTCAGAGCCGAACCTTTGTAAGTTCAGCGTATAAACAGTGAAACCAAAACCAGTTTCAAAACGCCCCAAACAAGCAACAAAATCGGCAGCCAAATGCGAAGGAACGATGTAAGGGCGGCAGCACAGTCGCGGTGGCCGATGTGGCGTCGAGTTGGCGACCCGACGCCCGTTACTGAGTATGTCGGTCACGCCAGTTCCCATTGAGGCTTGCAATAAATATGCACAGTGCAGCAACTACCTACAAAGTAGGAAGGGTCCTTCCTCACACGCCAACAGTAACATTTGGTGAAAATCACAAACAACAGAAGTCGTCATCTCAGTATTCTGCGCCAATCACCCTCCCTTCCTCACTTAGAAACGTTTAATATATTAAAACTAAAAATAATTAATTAAAATCCGTCAAACAATCAAACTCTCGAAACATTTAATATATCATACACCTCATAAAATATACGACGCTTAGTATAATATTGGTAAAGGCTTAAAATTCGTCTGAAAAGACTGAGGAACACCACGATAAACCCGCCTTAAAGCGCTTTCAATTGTTAGTTCATACTTTCCGGCGGTAGGCGAATGAAATGAAAGCAAAACGGACATCAAGCTCTCGGCTTAAAAAAAAAATTCGTTAAAAGCAGCGATCTGGTATTTATGTGAAAGGTTTGGCACGCTTTAGATATTGCATCGGATCATCCCTTCTCACGTACAGAGATTACAGAATAAAAGAGGGAAACGTGTGTGAGCTCTAAAAGGGGTGTGTGTGTGTGGGGGGGAGGTGATTGTTGATGAATTTGGTTGGGTTGGGAGTGGTAACGTGATTAATGACCAGGTTTAAATGTTTTACTTTTATTTCAGACTGGGCAGTGGTTGATACAGGAGCGTGACTGTCCGAAAATCCACTACGCTCTGCGATTAACGAATAAACCGCATCATGGTTTAACGATGGTTATACAACAATGTTGCAGATCTATCATTAGGTGGTGGGAGTCTACAATGCGTGCCATTTTGTTTTATATCGATTAAAAATGCATATTTTAATGGTTATACAAAAATCCAATAGATATTCCTCTAGTTTCGTCATACAAACTCCTGGTATATGATATAAAATAAATAACTTAAAACCATTTGCTTTATGTGTCTGTCAGCAGCTGATATAGCATGACGGATGAATCGGTAAGGATAACTGTATTTACAGTAGCCTACGGTCGACTAAATATTACACATTCAGTTAATACCGGCCAAGTCTAAGTAAAAGAAAAGTACTTTAAAATTAGACAACCATCTCTGTTTCGCTTCTAAACAGAGATGATTTCCGCGTATCTTCCATTTAATACAGCAACAAAATCAAAATAAATTTTCGGGCCTTTACATTAGACTTTATACCACATAAAGTTACCTCAACGGCAACTGTTTAAAAGGAAAACTTTACACTTGTTAGATGTAAATTCGTAATTTACTTCTTAAGGATTCTATATCAGTTACTATGTAGTATGAGGGAAGGCTGGCTGGGAAGGGAACAGTCATTAAATAAAACGGGCCTGTTAAAATCATTTATTTGCCTAATAAAACTTGCAAGAAACATCAAAGTTCTCTGCCACATAATGATTGCTGTGTAATCGTATCTCTAAACTCCTCTCGAGAAGCGTCTCAGACGTCTGGTAACTGAGAAACATTTCTTTCTGTCACAAACATCGAAGCCTCTGGCTTCTGCTTTCGACAAAAGTATCTGCACTATTGGAAAACGTACACAGAATCGAATAGATGGTAAACCTGGTCTTCCTCGCTATCCATCGTCGCCAATGTCCGCTTGATGGCGAACTTCGTGCCGGCGTCCAGTACAAAGCTTTCATATTATTCTTCGAAAATTACGAAACACTGAAAGATCGTACAAAGAGGAAGGTCAACGCGTAGTACGGTCTTTTATTTATAAATCCGCTATATTAAGAAGGAATTACACAAAACTACATATAAGTCACGTGTGAACCATCTTTGATAATTTAAAGACAAAAGGACCTCCACAGAAATTTGTTCTGTGGTTATGAAGTTCAAGTATTAAATTTTCCACAAAACGGTTAAAGATTTTTAATGGGTTTCCTTACACAAAATTCTCAATTACGCAACAAAGCTCAATTTTTTCACTTGACAAGAGACGGTTCATCCTTGAGAAATAGATACAAAGAAATTGGGGTGAGATTTTAAAAATCAATTTACCCAACGAAAGCCAAAGTACAAAAAAATAATTTTCTATTCCCTTGCAAAAGAATTTATCAGAAAACATGGACTAGAAAATTACATAAAATGGAATGTTAAAAACAGTTTGTGAAGCTTTGCAGGAGTTTCTGCGAACATGTTCAGCTCTAACGACTGTTGTTCTGTGTCTTGTTGTCTGTGGTAATGTGGCACGCCTTTAGGTGACACTACACAATAAAGTGCAAAATAATATCACGCACATCGTGTGTATTATTTCATGGCTACCCTCCCACTCTCGAGAAATAGTAAATTCACACAGGCGCAACGACTTAAAAAAAATACATCGTGTGTATTATTTCATGGCTACCATCCCACTCTCGAGAAATCGTAACTTCACACAGGCGTAACGACTTAAAAAAATCCAACAAGTATAATAAATAGTAAAACTGATCAGATAATCATTGTTTGAAATTAAGTTAATGAAGTAAGAATATTAACTGGCTAACAGGCTTCGCAAATACAAAACACCAACTAGGATTTCGAAAAGCTGTTCTTTATCGGAGAAAATAAAGAACTTAAACTTTATCTGTTACCTTCCTTGCAGTTATCCAAGTACCAGACGTCTATTAGAATTTAACGTCTTCTGCAAAATGTGTAAATAAATTACTGCCATTATCCACTTGAGGTATGACCTCTGCCTATCGTACCGTTACACCTTCTAGGTAAGGACTAATTTATTTGCTGCAGTGCAGAGGGCAGGCCGGATAAACCACCCCCCACTATGCTTATCTTACTGACTGCACCAAAACTCCTTCATCCCAGTATGAACTTTGCTACCAATCCTGCAACGTACAGTATGGGAACACCGTCATGACTATGATACCCCACAGACGACCTGGTGAACGCATATCATAGAGAAACTTTCCAGTATTTATCACTAAATTACATGCTTCAAGACCACGGAGGGACTTCACACCTCCCTTAACACGCGACTTCAACAATACATCGTTGCTACGCTGTGAGTTCTCAGCTGTAGTCACTCGCCTGGGCTCCACTGCGTATGATTCAGCTGTGACCTTGAAGAACGCAATTTCGCGACGGTTGCGAAAAAGGATGTCACACAAGACCACGAGATAGCGCAGAGTCAGCGCTACAGCGTGACGATATTGCTAGATTCTTACACTACAGCTGATCAACAACGCATAAAATACAGTGCGTACATAAAATACGAGTTTACAACACTGTCAACTAGTATAACGTTGTCCATTTAATGTTCCAGATACATCAACACCTTAAAACGTAAGCTGCTAGCTTATGTGTGCAGGATCTAAGAATTGGTGTTTACGAACATAGTACATCGTTACTAATACGAAAGACTCCAAAATGTATAGAAGGAAGAGTAAATAAAGACAAAACGGAGACGAGGGATACTGAGAGAAGGACGTGGACAGACAAGGAAGAACAGCCTAGATTTCAGATTCACAAGGCGGTGAGTATGAAGACGACTGTATTCTCGGATGGTGCTCTGTGTTGGCTAGTAAAACTTTACCGAGGTGCTTTCTCCCGCCATGATCAGGGGCAACGAGTAAACTTCAACCAGACTATACGGCCCTACATCCCATAAGACAGCCATCTTAAAGGGAACCGTTTTAAATATTAAATATGTGAAATACTTGCAGATAGCAATGTCCGGCTTAACTCTCGCGTACTGTAGCTACACCACACCACGTGCTCTCATGGAAGACCGATAGGTCCATCTTACACTGGCAATGGTGAAAGTAAAAGCCTCTACAGAGCCCAGTATTGAAACTGGAACTTTATCGCAGCCTTACCGGGGCTTCAAAGCGACGGTGCAACGCTGTAGTAACAGCTTTCCCATGACCGTAGCAAGCTTTAGACGAGCCTGCTGAAAATTTTATAGAAACACAGGAAGCCAAGAACAGCAGACCCTGATTTATTGATTAGGACTTTGCTTTCAAGACGTTCTTTGGCATCCTGGAAGAGTTACTTAAGAAGTAAATACCGCAAAGACAATTTTTGTCCCTTGAAGCCGAAAAATAAATCTGCATTTGATACTTTTGGGATTCGTATTTCTCTTCCTATAAACAGGGATTATTTCCTTAAACTTCATCAGGAAACTAATCTTTGTAATGGTAAAGAGCTGTGAAGATTTCCGTCTTCTGGGTTGTTGCGCTGTGTAGTCTGGTCGATGTTAACCAACGTTTCTGAGGTCATACTGCCTCCATCATCAGGGCGATGAGTATGAAAATTTCTGTCTTATGGGTCGTTGCGCTGTGTAGTCTGGTCGATGTTTACCAACGTTTCAGAGGTCATACTGCCTCCGTCATCAGAGTATGAATATTTCTGTCTTCTGGGTTGTTGCGCTGTGTAGTCTGGTCGATGTTTACCAACGTTTCAGAGGTCATACTGCCTCCGTCATCAGAGTATGAAGATTTCTGTCTTCTGGGTTGTTGCGCTGTGTAGTCTGGTCGATGTT